AGAAAGCGATCGTGACCCACAACATTGTATTATTTGTCCAGTAGAGTGTCAGAAGCCAATCTTAAAGCTTATAAAAAATCACTATGATATGCACTCCTAATATCTTTCAATGCTCAAGAAGAATTTATGTCGTCAGCAAATATTAGAAAACATGCTATAAAAGAGATTTATGAATTTTGTGTAAGAAATAACTTGCGATTATTATGGGGTACTTTTGGACTAATTGGTACTTACTTAATCGATGACATTTGTGGGCTTGATTTGTTAGATCTACAATACCTCTAGCAAAAACAACTATGAAGATTGAAGCCTATTAGGGAGTTATTAAATAGTTTTATCTTCAACGATTTAGTAACCCTAGGCTGGATCTTCTGTTTTGGACATTATTCAACAAAGTAATCCTGTCACAGAAGGATCAGTTATCACAGCTCTTAAATGGTATAATAAATCTATATTGGTGGGAGGATTTCAAGAGAGAGTGGGAGTATGTAGGTGCGAGCGAAGAAAAAAGAAAAAAAATAAGTGCAAATAAAAAAAATAAAAATAAAAGAAATGTACTAATACAGAAATAACTGACTTAGCCAATTCAGTTAGTTCATACTTCACTCAAGTCTTCCGTTGGATCTGTAGCTGTCCAGCCTTTGTTAAAAATCGTTTTCTAATATGTAAATATTTAATGCAACAAGTCATAAATATGCCTGATGGTACACGACGACAGCTAATTAAAGATGATTTTGAATGTCAGATCACCCCTTTTTTTTTAATTATAAAGAACATCAACAGTGATAAAGATACGGAAAGTATCTTATCCATAACAATTGCACCTATTGAAGTTTCAGAGTATATTGATGTTGATGTTGTTGATAATCCTGATGAAGAGGCTCGTTCTTATGTGGAAGAGAATTGGTCTTTAGTGAGCATAGATATGACCAACAAATTTCACGAAAATATTTATATTGAATATTCGGCCAAAAAACGCACTTTATATCATACAATCAGACAACAATCAAGTGATTGTACAGGTATTGAAATAATACCGGGTCAAATCTATGTAAGCAATGCTATTCTAATTGAAACTATACCAGGAATGGAGTGCAACAAAAGTTTGGTTATATGGTGAGTATTTGATTGGATATATTATGCAACGAATATATTTGAAAGTTTTGTATATGTATCAGATTTGGGTGTATATTTCGTGTACATTATTGACATTATTGGACAGACGGCAAAAAATAACAAGAATTTTTTTTGTCGGAGTTAATGTCATTCCATGTGCCGCGTAGCAGCATATGAGTGAAATTAACTCCGATGAAAAAAATTTCCTGTTATTTGTCGTACGTATGTTCAATAATGGCGTACGATGAAAAATAACAGTGAATTTTTTTTTTCATCGGAGTTAATGTCACTCCCATGTGCTGCATAGCAGCACATGAACGACATTAATTTTGATGAAAAAAATTCACTGTTATTTTCGTATGTCCAATATTGATGTTATTGTTCATATTATATTAGCATGTGAAATTTTTTGTCGTGACATTTTGCATAAATGATGATGTCATTTTGACAAAAATTATCAAGGCAAAAAATTTTTACATGATCATATCACATGAACAATAACCGATAGTTTCTTGTTATCCGGCAGGTACTATGTAGTGATGCAAACGGCTGGCTCCAGCTTGGCTACGGCTCAATCATAATGAAGCCGAGCTGCTTTTTAGCTGAGCCGCTTTTAGCCGAGCTGTTTTTTAGCCGAGCTGGCAAGAGCCGCAGCTTCAATTTAATTACCGTTATCGTTACAAAAAAAATTGTACGTATTTTCAATTATTTTAGCAGAAATATATGTACATATATACATACAAATATTATTATAATTTATAATTACAAGCATGTAAAACATAGTACAAGAACATATAATTAAAATATTTTTTTAAAAAAATATTTTTTGAAAGAAAAAAAACTTCTAAAAAATAACATTTTTTAAAAGAAAAAAAAACTTTAAAAGAGTATCTTTTTAAAAAAAAATTAACTTAAAAAATAAAATAAGCATAATTAAAAAAAAATCAATCCCTTTGAAATCTAATGCCGTGTTCCAACCATGAGCCAGTACACATTAATGTCTGTACGCTTTTTTCAGAAAAACGTACACGTTTAGCCCGGATAGTGTCACCTGCCTTTGAGAATATTTGTTCAGAAGGCACTGATGTTGCCTGGATTGCGAAAAAATCTTTGGCTATTCGTGACATGCCTCCATCCTGGATGTTGTGTGTCAAGATGCTTGCGCAATGTACCTGTTGCCATTCTTCTACTAAATGAATTTTTGCAAATAATGCAAATGACTAAAGAATCGTCATCTGTTTTTTTTGTAAAATATGGCATGACTACAGATGTTTTTTGATTTCTGGTAACTGGAGAAAGGGTGGTAATATCTGTGCTTGAACCATCTGTATTATTATCAGATGTATATTGTAAAGATTCTTGGAAATCTGGAGAATTAATACTAGAAGGGTTGTCAAGATCCATTTTTACGATTATTGTTTGTAAGTATACGATTATTACGATTATTGTAAAAGTACAATTAATAAAAAAAAAAGCTATTTATTATCTTTATTATATTATGAA